AGATTTACCTGCAATCAAACTGATCGCCATGTCAGATATTAAACATTTGCCGCCCGAATAGAACAATTTTAAACAGAAAATATTGCATAAAATAGATATGAAACACATTTTTTTAATTTTGTAACTAGCCAAATATAAATTAAGGTTCTCAAAATAATTTTTTAATTTTATTTATAATTAATTTTAATTTTCAATTTTTATATACTTTTAATATGATCTTTTTACATGCATTACATATGCACCCATTAGAAATTGTTCAAACCACTTATAAAATTCTATGAGCCCCAAAATCTATTTTAGCCTGAAGTTCAATTTCGCAAAAAAAAATTCAAGAAGGATATTTATTAATAAATAACATTATATAAATATATATGTTATATAATTAATAATATATAATTTTTTATTTCTAAATGATCTCTTATTTGTACAAAAAATATAACCCATATCACACGTTGACTTTTTTAAAAAATCGTAAGAAAAAAACAAAAAATAGAATTATTTAAAAATGTAACATTTCTAATCCACTATTTAAATTTTCTCCAATATTATAAAATAAGCTTTCAGCCTTTGCTAAACCGAAAGATAACTTGACTAATAGAAAAATTAAAAAAAAGCTTACTCTGATAAGTAGTATGTATTTCAGAAGAAATTCTTTTGACTTTCTTTAGTGTTTAAAGATATATTTCAGGAATGTTGCTTGCTTTACCTAAAATGTATCCTTTGCGCATTTGTACATTACCTTCTCCCCAAACTTAGTTAAATCGTTGTCACCCAGCATATACCTGTCTTTTATGTGTTGCACTTTTTCTTGAACGACTCTTAAAAATGCCGCTCGAATATAACTTCACAGTTGACCTAACATGAACCTATCCCAAAGGCCCGAATCATATCTGCAGGCATATTATTTTTTCCTATGCACTAATCCTTATTAAAACTAAATAAAGTTATAACTGTTACCAGAGTAGACACGAAGCCCAAGTCGAACAACAACAACTACTTCTGACATAAAAACTATATAATAAAATATAATGCAGCAATTCATAATTTTGGTTAAGCAGCTTAACCTTTGCTATGGTCCGAAAGCGAGACAGGGTCGTGGGGGGCGGGGCGCAGCCTGTGCCACGTTCTTGTGTGACCAAAATACAAAAAAAAAATATCTGCTCCTTATTCGATATGCATGTTGTTGTAGTTGCAGTTGTTGTTGTTATTGGCAGCACAATTCGGTTACGTAGTTACATCAACTACTTTACGGTCATTATGCATTTAAAACACGCGGTCACGATCTCCGCGCTGAGTTAGTAACTGCGCAGAAGGCAGCCAGGCAGAGGTCCAACCAAAAGCGCAGCCAGCCCGAAAACAGTTAAAAACAAGAAAAAAAAAACACCCAAAAATCAAAGCCAAGTTAAGCCATAGTTATAGTCGCAGTCCGTTGCAAACGCCCGAGAAAGCTGCAGCTCGCGGGCTCCAATGCTGCATTTCTTTTGGCCAAATTCACAAACTGGAATTTCTTTCACTCGCTCCTCGTCGTCCTCGTCGTCGACGTCTTCTGCATTTCAATGTAAATAAAATTTTTGCCTGGCTTATTGATTCGAATTGTGGCACATTTTTTTCGAAATACCCTTGCCGAGGGTATAGTTACTTTGTCACAAAATGTGTTACTTGTCTTCCCTTGTTGTGCAAGCTAGTTTCTCAGTATTTAATGTACAAAAGCTGAAACAGAATTGGGCGGATCGAACTACAAGATCATGTAGCTGTTATAGGCACAAACGATAGAACAGTTTTCAGCTTTACTATTCCCCTCCCACAAGTGAAAGCATTCACATTAAATCCGCATACCTGTAAGGGTATTAAGTCTTCGGCCTACTGAAGATAGGTCGTCTTTCCGACTATTTGCTGCCCTCTTCTCATGTCCTCCGGACTCGTTTTCTTTTACGACATTCGACTGGCACTCGGTCACAGGATCATCAAAGCTAATAGCCAAAGTCAATTGACAATTATTGACCATGGCCAAGCGATGTGATTCGCAGAGCTTTTCAACCCCAACTGTTCAGATCTAATTTGTAACTTCACGATTATTTTCGATTGGTTGTTTATGAAATGAAATGGTTAATAATGGCTAATTGAATTTCTGTTGCCTTTGGCGACAAATCATTTATCTTGATTTACGCGCATTGTGTTGCTCAGGGAGGTGGGGAGGGGCGGCCAACTCTGGAGTTCAGTATGCTTGTTTCTTTGGCCTAAATGCAAGTTTTTGTTGAGCCATAAAGTATCTTGCGGCGTGGATTTGTTTGCAATTTTCTTTCTTTTTCTACACTTGAACTTTGTGCTTTTTATTTGATTGCAGTTCTTCTTTTTATACTCAGTTTTATAATTTAATGCAATTTTGTTATGTAATTCTTATTTATTCAACTTTGCGGCATATTTAAAATTGACAATTCACTTAGCAAATGACAGAAAATTAACAAAATGAATGTAAACACTTCTCGGGAACTTGAGTTTTGTTTATTTTTACATTTTGCACACAGAAGTCATTTGTCGGCAATTTCATTTAAGTTTATAATTGAATACTTAAAATAGGCAGCATTTGATAATTGTTAAAAGGCAGAAAATAAATTGACTTAAAAATAAAAATAAATGAACACTATAACACATTCATATAATATTATTATATGTATTAATCAAGCAATAAATATTGACAGATTTTTTTAAAATTATATTAAGAAATATTTATGACCATTTTTATGATAATGATAAAACTAGGAAAATATGTATTTAAAAATTTAATAAATTAAGTATTTGACTAGTTTTGATTTAACTTAAATATAATTTACCTTAGAACTATTTGAAGAATATTAAATCAGATACTGACTTATATTATTTGTTAATAATTATTTTGAGGATCAAATAACTTCATAATTGCCTAGTTTTAAGTTAAGTTAAATAATTATTCGAATACCAAAAATAATGAATTGATTTGCTAGTTTGAGACTTAGAGTTATAAAGAATATATTTTAAAACAAGCAACCAACTACGGAAATATTTCGATTAGAATTCGAATTAACACTTTATGCCAAAAAATATACCCCGATAAATAGACACTTATTGACTTCAGCTTATGAGCTCTTTAAAAACAATTTTCAAACTTTATCGCATAAGCAAATCCAAATAGCGATCGGTTACCTTGCGGGGTTAACTCTAATGAACCCATTTGGCAATTTGTTCGCCTCATTTTACATTGTGGCTCAATGTATTGGCTTTCAATTGACAGTTGGAAACTTGAAGTACGCTTTGCGTGCAGCCACAGACAGCTTGAACCAATCCAATCGCATAATGATATTCAAAGAGCTGAGCGCTTGAAAAACTTAGCTGAAATGCGAGACATTAAAACGACACATTACGTCCCATAGGCTGGCATTTGGCAATGCAATCAAATTCAAATTCACACCGCAATCGGATACGTCGTTGGCGACGACTTGGGCATACAGCGATGCCATCAGAGTTTGGCCACAAAAGCCGCCAAGACTGGCCAATTCATTTGGCTGCCGCAAACCAGCTGCAAGCCAAACCATTAAAAATGCCACTTGTAAATTTTGCGTAATTTGCAAAAGATACATTTTCTCGGTGTTTTTTTTTGAGTAGCATCAGATTCTGTTTGGCGTTTTGTATGCGCTGACTAATAAAGCAAATTAAAGCAACAACAAGAAAAATATGCAGATATAAGACGCATTCTTAACAGCGATTGAGTATGTTTAAAGCTATGCAAATTTACATGTGCTGATGTCTAATTTGAATTTCAAATAGGCGCAGCACAGCAAGTATGAGCAACAAATATTTATGTATATATATGTGTGGTTGTAAAATTTGTTGCTGTTTTACAACACTTAAATACATACATACATGCACAACAAACATGTATATTGATAGGCAAACTTTTGTGTCGCTGCCAATTAACACTTGACGGCGCACGCTGCGTATGCGCAATGTCTTCTCAATTTTAACGACAAGTCAACAATATAGTCACCGCTTCACCGACCCATCCACCTCACTCCCATACACCCCCTCAACTATTTGTGCCTCTTGTGTTGAGGGCGTCGCCGCTTAGTTTAATTTTTGTAAATTTAATTAAACGTTCTCTTGTGTTGGCGCAGTTCGTGTTTGAGACCACGTCCACGTCCATGTTGTCTCAATTGGACATAAATCATGCGAGTGACGCAATTTCGTCATGTGCCATTTTCTAGTTATTGTTGTTGTTGTGTGTGGGCGTGGCCCCAATTTATGTTGATCTACTTTTGACGTGAAAGATGAACGCCCATTCGCTGGAATACGTACTATACTTTTTTTTAGCCCAGCGCCAGGTGAACTGTACAGACACAAAAACCCATTTGTCTTTGTTTATCGATTAGAGCTGGAGTTTTAAACTAACTTCGGGCTTATTAATTATTTTTTAGATGCCTGCGGTCTGTCCGATGTGACACACATTGAATCCCTGCAAGAGAAGTCTCAGTGCGCTTTGGAAGAATATTGTCGAACGCAGTATCCGAATCAGCCCACGAGATTTGGCAAATTGCTACTCAGATTGCCATCTTTGCGTACCGTCTCCTCACAAGTAAGTAAAATCGATGCCAGAACAGTCTAACGTGGCTTCAATTCAATTTTAAATAACAGAATACTTTCATTCATGATAATGATAAAAATCCACCAGAAACCCTTTACATTCCCATATAATCCTTTTGCTGATTTCTTGTCTCTTGTGCTCTTTTATTCACCAGGTCATTGAGCAGTTGTTTTTTGTGCGTCTAGTCGGCAAAACGCCCATCGAAACGCTGATACGCGACATGTTGCTGAGCGGCAACAGTTTCTCTTGGCCCTATCTGCCTTCGATGTGACACACAATGTGGCGCCAATTGACAACAACTTGATCATCAGCCGCAGCTGTGGCGGCCGCTGTGGCAGCCAATCATAGCAACACTTCGCTCAACATCAATCCCTGCAACAACAACAACATAACTAGCAACAGCAACATTGGCGGCGGCGGTGGCGACGGCAGCGGCAGCGATGGGTGTGGGGGCATTGCTGTTGCTGGTAATCACAGCCACGATCACAACAATGTTGCTGCCATGCATGCAACATACGGTAACGGCGGCAACAACTGCAGCAACAGCCTCAACAGTATTTGCAATCAGCAGCAAATCAGCAACTACAGCAACAACAACATGAACGTCAGCGGTTTTCTTGGCGCCGGCAGCAGCAGCAGCGATTATATGGCCAATGCAACAGCAGCTGCTTCTGCTGCATATGTGACACCAGCAATTGCAACAACAACAACAACATCAATGCCAGCGTCAGTGAGTACAACAACAATGCTGTCTAATTACTGCGATGCAGCGACTATGATGATGGCCGCTGCCGCTGTCAATGCAAATCAGTGCCTGCAACAACACCACCAACGATTGCTGCTGGCCAGCGGGAACAGCAGCCACAGCCACAGCCATAGCAGTAACAACAGCAATAGCGATGAGCAATTGGCCACGGCAGCGGTCATGGCCTCCTCCTCTTCCTCAGCTGGCTCGCTGTCATCGGCATCGTCCACACCGACAGCAACGGCCGTCTCGACAGCCCAGCAGCAACAACAACAATCGTCGCTGCCATCGCCGCCAAATTTAATCGATATCAGCGAAGTTCCTCTCATTGTGGATGTCAAGTAGTGTAATTATTTATGCATATTGAAAAAACCAACAAAAAAAAAACCAACAGAAAAAATCTCTAATGAAAAATGTAAAAAAAAAAAAAACAAAAACAAGAAACGAGAATCGTGTAGCTTAATTGTTTTAAAATCTCCTTTAGTTGTTGTAACTTGTACATAAACAATTTTCAACTTTCACCCAGGCGCCCACAACTGACAGCCAAATGCGGTTTTGTATTTTGTAGATACAAAGCTGCTCCCTGGTTAACTGTTGCAAAAGAAAGAAAAAGATTAAAATAAATCCTAAGCGTTTAACGTTTCAATATTTTTGAATTCTCTTCTTTTTTTGGGCGTCCATCAGTTCTACTATATGTCTGTATAATATTTAAAGGCACTGAGTTCTACTTAATTTTTAAATCAAATGAAAGAAAACTAAACTAAAGTAACATTTTTGATATATCCTACCACAAACGAAATATAACAAATAAAATACACAAAAAAGACAAATGTAAATGTATGTTAGGCAAAATATTTATGTATTTCTTGTAGCATATATACATACATATAGAGACCTATAACTATATAGGTCTATGCGTTCTATAGTGTACTTTAAAGTCTAATCTCCCAGTGGTTTGCAGAATTATACCAAAAATATATTTTTACTTTATGTGTGGCAATTATATTTTGTGTGTGCTTTAGCAATTTTTTACTTTATTTTACTTTAAGTAAAATGTAAAAAATAAAATCAAATAAAATCAAATATCATAAGGAAATTAAGAAATACAAATTCTCAACTTCTCCAAACCATGTCTCAAAGATGTGGAAAAAATTTAACGAAAATACAAATTTTATTTTTATTATTTTACAATGCAAAATTTAGCTAATTTTTTTATTTTTTATAAACAATTAAAAAAAAGCGGGCAATACCAATTCAGTGCAAGTTTTCAGTTTTAAAACGATCTTTTAGACTAAGCATTATTTTATTTATATGTATAAATATAAACGTTTTATATATTTTATAATAATAAAAATTGCGTTTTTAAAGAAAGTTTCTATTGTTTTCTTTTTAATATTAATTTGATTATTAATTATTTATTATTTTTTCATAAAGAAGAAAACGAAATATATGTAAGCCATATCAAACAAATTCTTGCTTATTTTTCTTTGGGATATATCCTGATTTAACTTGGTAAGGATACCAATCTGATTTGGTTTACTATATCTATTTGCATTATTGTTTTAAATACTTTTTGACAGGAACTGCAGCCAAAGTTTTGTACATAAAATTGTGTAAAACACCTTTTAAAAGTATAGCAAATAATTAATAATAATATTTATAGCTACCAATAAAAATTTGTTCGAAATTTTCGTTCATAGTCTAGTATTTGCGCATTATTGATAAGCAAACATTGTGTAAATAAAATATTAAACTATATATTATAATAATTGAAATTATTGAATTACAGTAACTTATTAAAAAGCATCGCATGAGCGCGTGTAAATACAATTTCGAGGTGCGAAATATGTAAATTAATTGATAATAAATGTCAACCGAATGGTAAATATATGCATATACACCGTAGAGCTGAGCAAGTCCAGCTATAGACATAGATCAAGTTCACACATATATATAGTGACATATCCATAGTCGCACCCACCCTTTAACATATCTTAGCACATAAGCATAAGCACAATTATAAACATTTCTAATATTGTAAACAAAGAGCCTGGTGATAACATCGACATTGGTCAAGATCAAACTGTCCCCCTTTGGTAGACATAAACAATTCACCCTAAATATCACGCCACTGTCAATGTTCCCATCAGAGTACTATCCCACGCATAATTGCTGACGCAGCTCAAACTTCACTCAATTTTGACTCAAACTCTCTCAAAGCGAAGTTTGCTAAGCGACCGCAACAGTTAGATAAATCAGTTCTTATTCGGGAAGCAAATCTGAATGTACTCAACAAAAGTAGCCGTTAAGTGAAAATAATAAATTGAAATATATTTTTTTATAGTAACCTAACGTGTAAAACTTAATTGGCGCAGCCGGTAGGATACGTCGGGAAAAATTAAAGATCGCTAAAGGATAATTAATTCCCAGATCTAACGCACAATCGCGACCGAAAGTGTTGTCGGAGTGTAATAAAAATTTTCTCGAATACGTATCCGCACAAGAACCTTCGGGTCATTAGTAGCTTAATAATATTGACCCTTTGGGCAATAAAGCTACTACAGTTAATAACGACTGGCTTTGCATATCGTTTGATCCCTGCAATACGTTATTACTGAGTCTTTTTAAGACACACACACAAAAAAAAAAAAAACATTTGCACAATAATCCATCACAAACTTTAACTTAAAATAAAAGTGCAAAATCAAAGAACAATAAAGTTCAAACCTACAAACTCAAAACTATTCAAAAAAAAGTGTATTACACCAAGATGACAATGGAATTATCAGAACAACACCTCAACCAGGCCCTTTCACAACTTAGACAGGTGCCAAGCTTTGACGGATCAACGGATCAACTAAACGCCTTCATTAAAAGGATAGATTACATCCTACACCTGTATCCAACCCGAGATGTTAGACAACATAGCATCTTATACGGAGCCATCGAATTGCAAGTCACAGGAGATGCTCAGAGAATATCACAAAGGACAGCAGCCAACACTTGGCAGGAGCTGAGAAACGCATTGATTGAAGAATACAAAGTGCAGACACCATTTGAAGAACTCCTTCGACGCTTATACAACACGAATTACCAAGGAAACGTCCGTAAGTTCATCGAGGAGCTCGAGAATAAATCTTTTGTTATTTTAAATAAGTTAGCACTAGAAAATATACCTAGCAATACAACCCTTTATACAAATGCTATGAATAACACAATCAAAGATGTTATTACAAAAAAATTACCAGATAGGCTTTTCATGATGTTAGCCAGACACGACATTACGTCGACACAAAAACTAAAGCAAGTAGCTCAAAGAGAGGGATTATATGAAAATAGCGTTACTGAAAAACCTAAAAATAATAATGTTCAGGGAAATCCAAATAACAATCGTAGGAACATGGGAAATTATCAGCAAAATGCTAACCCAACCACCATTTCAAGTGGCTATTCCAACACGAATCAGAGTTATCACGCACAAAATAAACAGCATAATAAGTCCGAAGACAATCAGAAAGCTCACCACGAGTTCCAACAGAAATTAAGTCAAGGTAGATACCAAAATCCCTTAAACTACCAAAATCAGTCCCATTCACGCTTGAATGCACCAAACCCTCCGACTAAACGTCAAAGAGATAGTAACAGTGGGCAGATGAAAATGGATACATCCGAAAATTTTCATCAGCAAGCCTCGGAACAAACAGAAGAAATCCATTCATAAAATTGATTATGAATGACGAAGTTCTAAAATGTGTCATCGACACAGGTTCAACCATAAATCTAATGAAAACAAACCGCTTAAATTTTCCAGTTTACAACGAAACATTAAAGGTTCACACCATAAATGGTGTTATTGAATTAAAACAAAGTATACGATTAGGAGCAAGCAAAATTTGTCCGAGCAAACAAAAATTCTATATTCACGACTTCTCAGAGCATTATGATGTTCTGATTGGGAGAGAATACCTTGAGGCATGTCAAGCAAAAATAGACTATGCACAAGGATCCGTAACCTTAGGAGAATTTAACTTTTGTTTTAGATATAACGACGAAGAGGTCGAAGAGGACATGACCGCACAAGAGTGCCTTGATCCACCCTCAACAGAGGACAGACCATTTAACTTCGCTATTAATAATGAATTAATAGAAAACAATGAGTTTAGGCTAGAGCACCTAAACTCAGAAGAAAAAGAAAAAATAAAAAAAGTTTTACATGAATTTCGTGATATCCAGTACCATGAAGGTGACAATTTGACTTTCACTAGTACAATTAAACACAAAATTCTAACAAAACATGAGGACCCAATTTACAAGCGTCCATACAAATATCCTCAAATATACGATGAGGAAGTAAATAAACAAATAAGCGATATGATAAAACAAAATATCATACGTAAATCCAAATCCCCTTACTGCTCACCAGTAATAATCGTTCCAAAGAAAAACGATGCATCTGGAAAGCAAAAGTTCCGGTTAGTCATAGATTACCGCAATCTCAATGAACTAACTATTAATGATAAATACCCTATCCCGATCATGGATGAAATATTAGACAAACTTGGAAAATGTCAATATTTCACAACCATTGATCTAGCCAAAGGCTTCCACCAAATCCAAATGGATCCTGGTTCAATACCCAAGACCGCATTTTCGACTAAACATGGCCATTACGAGTACACTCGCATGCCATTTGGTCTTAAGAATGCACCTGCAACGTTCCAACGTTGTATGAACAATCTCTTAGAAGATTTAATTTTTAAAGATTGTCTGGTCTACTTAGACGACATTATTATTTTTTCCACTTCATTGGAGGAACACATTTTGTCGCTACAAAAGGTATTTAAGAAGCTTAGAGAAGCTAACTTAAAACTACAGTTGGATAAATGCGAGTTTATGAGAAAAGAAACTGAATTTCTCGGTCACATCATCACAACTGAGGGTATAAAACCAAATCCCAACAAGATACAAGCAATTGTCAAATTCCCAATTCCAAAAACCCCAAAAGAAATTAAATCATTTCTAGGATTATGTGGTTTCTATAGGAAATTTATACCAAATTTCGCTAATATAGTAAAACCATTAACACTTAAATTAAAAAAGGGAGCAAAAATCAATATAAAAGACAGAGACTACGAACTAGCGTTTGAAAAGCTAAAAGTACTCATAACATCCGACCCAATTTTAATATACCCTAACTTCGAAAAACCATTTTCATTAACTACAGACGCAAGTAATATGGCAATAGGGGCCGTCCTTTCGCAAGAGCATAAGCCTATATGCTATGCAAGTAGAACTCTCAACGAGCATGAGTTAAATTATTCAACGATTGAAAAAGAATTATTAGCAATCGTTTGGGCCACTAAATACTTTAGGTCCTATCTTTTTGGTCGACAATTTCAAATCCTTAGTGATCACAGACCACTCGTCTGGTTAAATAATATGAAAGAACCTAACATGAAATTACAAAGGTGGAAGATCAAGCTAAATGAGTTTGATTTCCAAATTAAATACGTCCCAGGAAAAGAAAATTATGTGGCAGATGCTCTGTCCAGAATTCAATTAAACGAAAACTTCTTAGGCGAAGATACAATTAGCACAAGAGCAACAATACATAGTGCTCAAGAAGACAACAGTAACCATTTACAAATCACAGAAA